CCCCAAAACCCCAAAACCCCAAAACCCCCTCTCATTGATATTCTGAAATTAGAAACAAGTCTGAAAAATTAATAATCAATTATTATGATTGTTTGAGACTTCCTTAAGATTATGGAAAAACCAATTCTTTAATGTTTCTTTGCTTGTCTATAAATCCTAACTATCAGAATCCTATTATGCATTATTAAACCTATTATCTTACTTTGGCTTGTTATTTTATTTGATCCAAAATTTTGTCATGAACAGGTAGATAAGAAGTAAACTATAGCATACTTGAAGCAGGGTTCTTAAATTTATTATCTTATGATTTCTGAACACATGCCTTGCTTTGATTTATGAATTCCTAAAAGTTATTCTAGTAATTTGCGTAAGCTTCTTTATTTGAGGGGAGGACATCTTAATCTTGAAGACTAAACATTTATTCAAGATGAAATAGTTTTTTGATGTATAAGAGAATGTTGATGACCCAATGCTTACCTGGAATCCATTCTTTAAATTCAAACTACAAGTTTTAACAAAAATATAGAAAATACATCTAAATTTATTTCTTATGAACTAAAGTTGACGAGTGGATGGTAAACCTAGGTAGTTGTGAAAGAGGCTATTGGTCTCCACTTAGGATAAAGTGGAGGAAACTCTATCTTGAATCTGAATATTCCTCCTGAATAGAGTCCCTACTTGACAAAATACACACCATGCCAAACTAAGTCCAAATTTAATAAATAATTGTATAATCTTACTTGTATTTTTATCTATTTAAGGAAGGACATACATACCAATAGGACAATATTTCTACAGCATCTTACTAAAACATCAATTAAATTAATATGGCAATGTTTTACAACTCAAGCATGAGAGTTTGCTAGTTAGGTTCAAATGCCTGACCTTAACCACCCTAGCTTTTTCCATCAAATCCTAAAGACTGTCGCCTTTGCTCTTATTATTACTGCATTGCAAAATTGAATAAATTAAGTATCTAAGGGCATTTCTTTTTTTGACTCTCAACTGAATTATAGTTATCCGAATCTTGCTTTTTAAGTTGTCTCTCTTCGATCTGTGACTCGATTTAATTTTCCATTATTCTATTTAAGAATTATTATTTCTATAGATAAAACACACTAAAATTATTCTCCGGGGTTTTGGGGTTTTGGGGTTTTGGGG